AACACACATGTGGCACCACAGGAGCTCTTCAGGAATTCCCTCAGAGCCCAACTGCCACCATCGGCTTCAGGTGAGCCTCTCAACCCCCACTCCTCCCGCTCTTGAGGCCGATTGGCTGGGTCTCATAGGCGGAGCCAAAAGAGTCCCCCAATGAGCAGCTCTGTGGTCTGAAAGGGCGGGGAAACAGCCCAATGAGCATCACCGCAGAGGAGCCAATCAGCTGGAAGTTTGCTGGGGCCGTGGTGAACCAATCAGCTGGAAGTTTGCTGGGGCCACAGTGAGCCAATCAGCTGGAAGTTTGCTGGGGCTGCTTCGGCTGTGGCTCTCAACAGCATTTATCCTTTGAGTGAGCAACACAACGTCTGGAATTCTACCCTATACACGCACACATGCACAGAGCCATATGAGCGACGTGTCTGTGAGAGAGTGAGAATTCAAATCCACAGCTGWCTAAATCTAGAATCTGGTCTTTGTATTATGAGTGTTCCTCACAAATTGGCCCTTGTGCCTCTGAGTCATCATTTACACTTTTGGAMCAGAATGAAATATTCCTTTTTCAGTTATTATTATCTCTTGACGATACTAACAGAGATCAGAGAAAATAAAAAAACCATATTCATTGTACTCTCGTCCTAGTTTTAGGATGGAGAAAGCTGACACATTCTGCCTGGCAACAGGTGGCATCAAGTCAGATTCATGCTGGGTGGCAGAAAGATGAGAAAGATGGTTCTCTGAGACAGCATTTTCTATACCTGATTGTGATCATGTAAAATATATTTGGTGCCAGTCCTAATTGCTGACATACAGTTCCTAAAACCTTTGGAGTCTCTGGAGTAATACGAATGTCTTTTATATCTTAATGAGATGGCTGGGGGCTGACAGCCCCCAGGTAGCTTCAGGATGGGGGCTGGTAAATGGAAAATCAAGGTAAGATTAAGAAGTTGGGACTTTGTGTCCTATACTTCCACCTCCAATGAGGGGAGAGGGTGAAGGTTAATTTTACCACTGATGGCTAGTGATTTAATTAGCCATGTCAATATAATGAAGCTTCTGTAAACCAAAAGGACAGAATCTGAGGAGCTTCAGGATTTTGAACAAGTGGAGATTCCTAAGGGGTTGTGCACCCAGAGAAGGCACCAAAGCTCCACCCCTTTCTTCCACACCCATCCTATGTTTCTCTTCCCTCTGGCTTTTCATCCGCATCCTTTGTAGTAAATGAATAATAAAATAAATAAATAAATTAAATGAATAAATGAATAAATAAAATAAATAAATGAATAAATAAAATAGTTTTTCCTCAGATGTGAGCAGTTTTTCTTCTGTCCTTTATAATAAATGAATTCACATAAGGGCTGCCCTGAGTTCTGTGAGCCATTCCAGAAAATTGATTAACCCAAGGAGGGGATCTTAGGAAGCCTGATTTTAGCTGTTAGGACAGAAGCACCATCCACAATCTGGAGTTTGCAAGTGCATCCAAAGTGGAGGTGGTCTTGYAGGACTGCATCCTCAACCTGTGCAGTCTGATGTCATCTCCAAGTAGATAGTAAGAAAATACTCTCAATACTCTCAGTCAGCAATTAAATGAACCTGAGGACAACCAGCTGGTGTCTGCTTCAGATCTGCTTGGAGGGGGTGGGGGGAACTCCACACATCTGATATCACAAGTGTTGTGGCCAGTGAGTTGTTAAGCAACAGAGGAGAAAAACACTTGGAGCTTGGATTTTTCCCTCTATTCTTTTAAGGATCGAATGCTTTTAAGCATTTGCACTGATTGTGTAAATGAAAGAATGAAAAGCAGAGTACAATTAACTCAAAAATAGAAGTGATACCTGGTTCACCATTAGCCCAGCACCTACCCCAGGGTTCAGCAAGCCATTGACAGTCAAGGAGACAAATGAGACTCAAAGATTCTGAGAGGTACAAAAACTGTGATCAACCTCTATTGGTCTCCCTTTGAGTCACTCAATCCACTCATGCCCTTTCACCCCACCCAGCTTCCGTGCTACAAGTCKCAGCGGGCTGTGATTACAGGATCCTCACTGCATGCTAAGAGGGAGGTACAAGACCAACGGATCCCAGAGTCCCTGTCAAGATCCAGTCCAGATCTCCTAAGTGACTTRTTGAAGGAGAAACCAAGGTGTGTTAATATTTTCAAGAATTTCTCGGATCAGATAGCAATTCATTAACTAGGCAGCTCTAGACCTCATCAAGCAGTTCAGTGATCCACTGGGCATTCTATGGTCTGGATAAGAGGTGTGCCCCAAAAGCTCCTGTGTTAATGCAAGAATATCCAGAGGTGAAATGATCAGATCAGGAGAACTGTAACCTAATCAGTTCATCCTAGTCTGAATGGACTAACTGGGTGGTAATTCTCAGCAGCTGAGTCATGGACAGAGGAGGCAGGTCACTGGGCTTATGCCCTGGAAGGTTTCATCTTCCTGAGCTCCTGTCCCCTTCCCTCATTCCTAGCTACCATGAATGGAGCAACAGTCCTCCAAAACTCCTCTCCACCATGATGTTCTGTCTTACCTCCATCCCAGATCAGTGGAGCTGGCCCACCATGGACTGGACCTCTGAAACCATGAGCCAAAACAAACTTGTTCTTGTTTGTTAGACCAACAAAACTGACTGACAGGGGTGGAAACTTATAAAATGTTCAAGGAAGGAAGACAAAGAAAATCAAAATATTTGATTGGTTAAGTGGAAAGTCTATAGATAGAGGTGAACTGAGTGGTCTCTGATTGGTTAAGCTTAATTTTTTTTCCCAGTTTATTCCAGAAACTTTCTTAAGGCAGTATGATGGCCCTGGGCCACCAATCTAAACCTTGTGGCCTTAGGAAAGACCTGTGTCGACAGGGCTTGCCTCCCTCTCCAGATGGGGGCTTAGCCACCTCCAGCACATCCTGCTTCATCCTCCCTGCTGGAGAATGGGGCACAGGGCAAAAGGGAGAGGAGGCCTTGATCCCACCCCAGGCAATAGCAGCTCCTGGGCCACAAAGATCCTTTTAGCCAGTAGCAGAGGGGAATAAAAGAGCAACCACCAGGGTTACCACCACTTGTGGGACAGACAGGCACCACGGCACCCTCTTACAGTTGTACTCAAAGCAATTAATAAATTAAAACTTTTTCCTTCAGCACCAGACCCCTCGATCACCTGGAAGCTGAGTGGAAAGCAAAGCAAGGAGGAATCTGTGGTTTCTTGCCCCTGACTGAGGCCTAGGCCCTTCTCTAGGAGCAGCTGGGAGCATGGATTATATGGGACCTCCAAATTGTGCTGAGAAGAGCCATTGAGACTAAATCCCCTCATGTTTGCCAGGATGTCTGAAGGACCCCAATCCAAATGCAATAACCCTAGGAGGGGTAACACTTAGAGAGTATCTCGGCAGTTGAGAACATGAGCACCCCAGAGAGAAAGGGGCCTCAAAAAGGAATGCTGGTGCATTGATTACCTGTTTCAGTTTGTCTGAACAGCCTGGCCCAGACCCAGCTAGAGTCCAGGAGGGAGCTGAACTGGTCAGATGCCAGAGGAGGAGGAGGAGGAGGAGGAGCTGACTAGCCAGGCAAACACCGACACAGCTGGCCGGCCCCTTAGTGCACACTGCAGGAATAGGCAGGACCTGGCCCCTTGGGTTTTGTGAGGGTAAGGAGGAGCCCCCTCAGGCTTCCCATGTGGCCCAGATTGTTCCTAGAGGCAGGGAGGGGTTGCAGCAGCCCCTCATCTGCTTGGAGGCCACTCGATGGGGCCTGTCCAGGGCTACAGGTAGATGGCTGTAACATCTGTGGGCGTGCTGGTCTGGCTGGGCCCCTGGCTGCTGGAGCCCCCGGGGTGCTTCGGGCGCTGGGCTGGGGGTGATCTGGGCAGCTTCCCTCAGACTCTCCCTRAGCGCAGCTTCAATCTGCTCCTGACAGGCCCGCAGGCAGTCCACTTCAGTGCCTGTGATCCCTGCCAGCAACTCTGTGAGCTCATCTCCGGATGTGGAGCACGCGCCCAGGCCTTGCACTGCAGCCCCAATGCTGCCTGTTACGATCATAGACGGCGGATACATGGCAAAGGTGTAATCTGTAGCACAGAGGGCCAAGAAGGTCTGGGCGTGCTTTTTGACCGAGGCCTGTGGGTCACTGGGCAGAGAGAGCTGGTGCAGAATCAGGGCCAGAAAATCATGCGCAATCACAGCAGCCAGGTCCCATTTGAGTTTTCCCAAGACCAGCACCTCCCACTCCCGCATCTGGTGGGGAGACACAGGGTGGTCGGTGTAGATACACAGTTTTTCATTGGTCAGGGGCGTGGTTTCGCGCAACTTGGATGCCAGCAGCATGCAGACCGCACCCAGGAGCTGCAACTGCGCCTTTCCGGTGGGGACACAAGACAGGTAGCGATCCAGGTAGTTCATGGCCAGGGGGAAGACTTCCTCCTCACAGCGCTGTTCCTCACACACCTCCAGCATCCAGTACGCCAGCATCTTCCGCATGTGCGGCTTGATCTCCTTCTGCACGCATTGGAAGTAGGAGGCGCGGGGCACGTAGCGCTCCTCCAGGCGGAGCAAGCTCTGCAGGACACGCTGGTCCCCCAGCAGCCGCGGGTCTGGCCCGGCCCGGGGCGCGTGTCGGGTGCCCTCACAGCACAGCAACTCCATACTCGGGCAGCGCACAGGCAAAGCGGGAGTGCGGGATCGCGAGTCAGAAGACAGGCGGCGGGCGGGAGAGCGCCGGGCGCGGGCGGCTCTGGAGCTGGCGCTGGCACTGTGCTGCGTGCGGAGTCCCAACCTTAAGCTTAAATTTTGCTTTACTGTTTGTATTGGATGTCAGTGTATTTATGTGGGAGCTCAATGCATTGAAAGGGTCTCACCTTCATGGTCTCACAGTTACATCTTTTAAGCAGGCTTCTATCAAGAAGGTGAATGAAATAGCTATAGTCCCTGTTGCTACAGATGCTACTAAGCTGCCATGTAAGTTTAAAATAAAAAAACTCCTGACATCCTGTTTTCCCGTAGGATACCCTCAACACTCTCAATACTTTACTTCTGACACCACAGGTTGCAGTGAGGAGGGGATCTCCAACACACCAAGTAATTCCACAGCAGACACTGGCTGGGTGCCCTACAACATAACTCAATTCAGACACTATTGGACACTGAGCTAGAATCTGATCCCACAGATTCAGGGATGCCAAAAGTCAAAATTACAACAAATTTGRCTTAAAGATCTAATTAGCAAGGCTGTGGCTGGGGCTCAGAGGTAGCGCACTTGCCTGGCATGTGTGAGGCACTGGGTTCAATTCTCATCACCACATATAAATACATAAATAAAATAAAGGTCTATCAACAACTAAAAAAAAWTTTAAAAAAACTAAATGTCAAAAAAAGGATCTAATTAGCTTTTATTTTTGATTCTAGAACCAAATAACACATCACTATAGAAAATAGAATSAGGGGCTGAGGTTGTGGCTCAGTGGTAGAGCTCTCACCTAGAGAGCTCACGTGCAAGGGACTGGATTTGATCCTCAGCACCACATAAAAATAAAGGTGTTGCATCCAAATACAACTAAAAAATAAATACTTAAAAAAGAAAATAGAATGTGTGTTTCATTAAGCTGAGCCAACGAGGTTGGCTTTACATATAGAAAAGAGCTGGAAAAAGCAGGAACAGAAAACAGATTGGTCATTTCAAAGTTGAAGGATATGGAAGTGACAACCCCAATACAGTGGCCTGGGAAGAGGGAGGGAAAAAGAAGATAAAACTTTGATAACCTTCATCCTTCCCCAGTGACGGAACAATCCCTGGGAAGGAAGCAAACATCACCCAATAACAGTAACAAGACAATCCCTGGGAAGGAGACCTCCATCAAGCCTGAAATGACAGTCTCTGGGAAGGAGCCAAAACATTGATCCTTCCCCCACAATAAATCCTTTCCCAGTGACAGTACAATAAACCCTGGAGGGAAAGAGATAAGCGCTGAATGCTGAGCTCTGGACCCTCCATCCTTGCCCAGGGAAGTCAATTTCAAATGCTCCCAACCTGTTTCCTGAGTGCCCAGACTGATATGTTCTGTTAAAGCCTCAGTGGTGAAGTCATCTCCCAGAGTGTGACCTATGTAAAACCTTTATCCAGCCTAACTCCACTGCTTCATGAGGTCTGCACCTGTCTTGGTCACTTGGTGCTTACACTAATAAATAATGGCCACCTGTGAACTTATCAAATACAATCAGGAAATGGAGGCATGGCTCTATCAAACCCATACCAGAAAAAAACAGAAAAATGAGCTTACTGTACACACCAGACCACTGAAGGAAGCAGCCCCCTCACCTAAAACCTATCAAAGGAGGAGCACCTTTAGATTGGAGACTGCAGCACACACCAACCYTTCACTAGCCCCCATCATCAGACCATCCAGTGAATGCATCACAGGCTCAAAGGACAACATCCTCCAACTCTGCCCCCAGGCTTCAGCTCAGATCAATCTTTCTGCTTGACTTGGCCCTATTTAAAACTCCCCGCCATCTGGACCTCAGCCTAGAATAAGATCTGTGCTGTGACTGTTCTGCACCCTGAACGAGTTCTTCAGCTGGTCAGTAATCTTCTGGAACCAYCCAGAGTGACACCTGGATCTGTACYTGCTCCCTGTCTTTGCTTTCAGTTCAGCCTCCGGAAGTCCTGTAGCCACCTTCACCCCTTCTTAGCCGTTCTATGTAAAGTGTGAGGTATGCCTTGAGGGTTATAGAGATTAGTAATTAAGATTGGGATAAAAGAATATGCACCTGCTCAGTTTATGACTTCCAGGTGACCCGTGAATTCTTGGTGAATTGCAACCAATGAAAATGATGTAGCTTGTGAATCTGTCGTTTTTCAATAAATTCTGACATTGTGGAAAACACAAATGTGTCCATTCTATGTTAATGGAATAATTTTCTCATGACAATTGCTCGAACACAGACCATTCATAACTTCACTTTTCCTTATCCCCAATCACCTGTCCCCGTGCCTGAGATGATCACTGGAGCCAACTTGGCTCAGGAGCCAACTCTGAGAAYCCCAACAAATCAGATCTGACCACTCGCCCCACAAACCAAATGGAAAGAGTAATGGTGAAAGGAACTTTAGTCACTACAGCTGTACTCAAAGACAAGGGACAAGCATTTCCAGTCCTATCTTTGGGAGTTACTTATATAAACTTCCTAATTATATACATAAGAGATCCGAGAACAGCATGGTCAAGCAGTTTTTGTCAAATGGTCATSTGTTGATCATTATCTAAGGATTGGTCAGGCAAGGCCTTGGGAGGCAATAAGAAATTTGCCATTGCCTGGGTGCTCCAACTCATCAGATGACGTTTGTCAATCAGAAATGTTATTCCTGGAATCCAACATGACTGACTCAAAGCAATTAAAGACAGGTGCAAAATGGAGGAAAAGATGCCAAGTGTTTTTACATTTGCAGGCCCAGGCAGAGTCAGAGATTTTAGGAAACACAACCTCTAAGTCCTTGTTACAAGACCACCTGCTTCTTTATCCCATAAATATCCCTAAACCCCACCTTCATGGAGGTGGATTTGAAACTCGGGTCTGCTATTGCCTCCTGTGTGGCTGCCCCGTGGGTACTCTCTTTTGCAAAACTGGCCTTTTCCGTGATTGGCATACTGCAGGGCAGGCAAATGGGCATGGTTCAGTAACACTTTTAGTTTTTAGTTTTTCCTGGAGATTTCATTAAGTAGGCATGATTGATCCACCATTGGTGATCAACTCAACTTTCAGTCCCTCTCTCCTCCCCAGAGGAATGGGGGGTGGGTGTTATGGTTTAGATGTGGTGTCCCGCAAAAGCTCATGTTTTGAGACAATGCAAGAAGGTTTGAAGGAGAAATGATTGCGTTATAGCTTTAGCCTAATCAGTTAATTAATCCCTGATGGGATTAACTGAAGTGSTAAGGTCTGGTTGGAAGAGATGGGAATTGGGCCATGGCTTTGGGGTATATCTTTGTTACTGGCAAGTGGAGATCTCTCGTTCACACGCTTGCTCGCTCTGCTTCCTGATCAGCATGTTGTGAGCTGCTTCTATCTGCCACTCACTCCGCCATGATGTTCACCCTCATTTGAGCCCTAAGAAATGGAGCCGGACTTAAGACCTCCGAATCCCTGAGCCCTCAAATAAACTTTTCCTCCTCTACAATTGCACTGGTCTTTAAGCCTCAGCAGTGAGAAAGCTGACTAAAACAGTGGGCAAGAGGGGAGGTGAATGTTCCGACCCGCTGATCWCAGGGTTGACTCTAGTCCCTAATCCTAACACAATCCAGAAGCCTCCAGCCACCAATCACCTCATTAGCATTCAAAAAGGCACTCTCATTTTGGAGCTGTGTGCCAAGATCAAATTCAGTAGGTATTCATAATAAATCCAATATCACATAATGTCTTCAGTGACATTCCTGAGAGCCATCCGTGGGCTGTGTGTGGACTACATGGGCATCACAGCCTAGTGAATAAGAGAGTCTGGTGTCTGGGAACTTYCAGTGGAAATTTCCTCTGGCCAAGACCACCCAGACACATTGTGAGCCCGATTCAGCTCTGCCTGGTCCCACGCAGCACTGGAGATGGGGTGACCTGCTGCAGCCCCACAGCCTCTCAGAGATGGGCATGATCTGCCAAGATGCCAATCAACCTGCTGACTGCCAGACATCAAGAAGCAAGACTCCACCCTGAAACCTTATCTCTGCCTTTGCTGCTCCCCCTCAAATAAACCACAAATAAACCTTTTGAAATTCCAGCTCCAGCTCCTGTGTGGGCTAACATATCAGGTGCTCCATCCTTTAAAACTTTAATTCTGATTCTGTCTTTTGTTCCTCACTAATTATTTCTGACTTAAGATCTTCGGAGGCTTATCCCTCTGCACAGGCAAGGGTTCCCTGGCAAGATGCTGGCTACCCTGCAATACATCCCCCCCCCCACTTCAGATGTCCCCCAGCCCCCAGCCTATGCTTATTTCTTGTTCCTATGGCAAAGCCACCTTCACTCCAGGCTGGCTGTGGGCACTCATGCAGGTCATGGAAGAGGCTCAAGCTCACTGGGACAAGATCTTCCTGAGCCAGACACTCAGCTCATGATCCAGAAGGGGAAACACAGACTCAGCCACGTCCTCTGGCTTAAGGAGTCCCCACCCAGGGACGGAGTCCTGGGTACGTAGGCCCAAGGAGTGCTGCTGCTGGTTTCAACACAAGAATGGACGCTGGAGAAAGGCCAAGGCTCTAGGGAAAGCCGGCTCCATCCCTCCCCTCCCCACAAGCACACCTTCCCTTGACACCCAGTTCTCTTATTTGGCCAGGGAGGTGATGAGGCTTTATTAATTCAGACCATCAATGCTTCCCACATTCAGTTCAAACCTAGCCCAGGAGGCTTTCCAAGGGCAAAGCCACTGCTGAATCCTGTTCCCTGAGGGGAAGAGACCACGTTGACCATGGCACACAGCTTGGGGGAGACGGAGAGCGAGAGCCGGCTGCCTACCGACCTTTATAAGAGCATAATGGAGAGAGGCTAGCGGGGTCACTCAGGGAGGCTGTCTGTGCTAAAAAGCACGGACTCTTCGCTTGGGCCTGCAGATGCCCAAAGGGTAACTAAAAGCAGGATAAAAGCGGTGTGGCCTCCCTGCCTGC